TCCATATTCAACCAGAAATTTTTTTCAGTGCACGAAACCGTGCACTTTAAATTAATAATCTGCGTTAACTCGCTCGTTGCATAAGTAATCGCTGTACCATTTGGCAATAAATGCAGAAATGATTAGAAAGCGCTGGATAGAGCCGTTGCGTGATACCGCTGCGTTAATTCAATTTTGTCATAAGTGCGGCCGAGGCGCCTCATCATACCGAACGCCCCGATCGGCCGTAATATTTATCGCAAGTTAATCACTTCTCGCATGCGTGATCCGGGAGATTTGCGGGAAAGGGGGGTGGAAAAAGTGTACGGATCCGAGCGTGTTCGTCGACACAAATCATACGCCTATAGTTTTCTTACATCGGAATTCCTCGGCGCGTCTGCTCGTTACCTATCGAAGTGTTGGTATTTCTTTTGAGAATGCTCGCGGCCACTCGCATGTCCGTCCAGGAAAGTTTGCGGAGAGGACGAAAAAGAAAAAGGGAGGTAACCGAGCACTTCCAGTGGCACGAGGAAAATTATATACACCAGCCGGGTATTTACTAACCGTGAACACGGCCGCCGCACTCCGCGCAACGTGCACTCATTGCGGACAAATGGACGCGAAATCACCGTTATTATTGCAATTTTCCAGTCGGACCGAGATCTCGCGGCGGTAGCCGCCATCGGCCAAGGAGAAGGGCGGCTAAATCGACTGGACATTTTTACGCAATAAAACGTAGCGGAATCCGTGCTCTTTGTCCCGGCACGATATTCCGTCGATAAACGCAACGGTTACTGTGGATAAAAGCAAGGTAGACCGTTTGCTTTTTCACGGGCGCGATACCATCAACGCGAATCCGCGCGACTTGCCGGCGATAATCAAACTTCTCTCACGCGCTAAAGGAGATAAAATTAAGATTGCCCCTCGCTTTCGATAAATATTGGATATACGGGTGATAGAAAAGTGCTTTCCACACGCAAAACTAATGAACTTCTAATCAATATGATTTGCATTCGCTTCTTTTTTTACTGCGTAAGTCATTTGTACGAACTGCGAAACTGTGAAATAATCAATGCTCGGGGCCTTACAGTCACCAATGTTCGCAACTTTAGCACAACTAATGCTTGAAACTCTAAAACAGCCAATGCTCGAAACTCTAGCATAATCCGTGTTAGAAACTTTGCGACCAACGGGATTCAATTTCGTAGTTTAGTAAAAGACAAATCGTGAAAACATTTATTCTATCAAAATTGTACGATTTAGCCATTTATGTTTCAATGCCATTGATTATCCTGGTTTCAAATTAGCGTAATAACATTTTTTACTCATATATTCTTTCTAATGGCCTTTTCTACCAATGTAGGTTAACTGTAATCTCGGTTTAATCCTTGGAATTAGGAAAAGATAAAAAGTAAGATAAACCATAAGTGTTTATCCACTTATGTCCATTTCTACCACCGTAGATTAACTTTAACCTCGGTTCAACGTATTTTTATCTAAATAATTATTTTTATCTTTTCCTTCTTTAAGACTAGAACAAGATAAAAAGCAAGTTGTCGGATTAAAGTTAATATACAATGGTGGAAGTAGACTGAAGTGGATAAATATTACTACAAAAATAAAAATATCGCCACTTCAAATAATACATTTGCAGTTACACACGAGTTTATGAAAATAGATTTTAAACGCTCTTCGAACGACACGAACCTGCTTCGAAAACATTACAATCCAATTGCTGCGCGATTAAAGGTAATATTCGAACGACCAATTTCATTAACGCTAAGAGATTGAATCATCGATCAAAATAGCAATTTCATAATTAAAGGCATTATTTAAAATAATCTTCGCTACATCCGTAGGCGGGAATTTCACAATCTTCAAATGAACAAAAATTTAATGAAAACTGATTGTATGTAAAACAAATTAATTTTTACAATCATGAATTGTAATATTTGTAAGCAGCAAGAAATATAAATTCACAAAATTCCATCGTGTAGCAAACAGGCAATTTCCTTAGCAATTTATGTGTACACAAAAGACGTATTTTGTCGCTCGCCTGAGTTAAAATGAAACATCAGGCTTACACTTGACTTAAGAAAGCTTAAACGCATCGCTGCTTTCCGCGTAATTGTAACGACTAAAATTGTAGGGTACTTTACTTGCAAAGTATAATCACATTTATTAGCATTGTTGTAATTATTATTATTATGATGAGCAAATTGATCGTCGAGAGATATTGCAGTCATATTTGCCCCCGCAATTACCGCGATTGATTCCTCTTACTTGCTCTGTCTTTCGTAGGTCTATCGGCGTAATTGATGATGATCATTAATATAGTGGATTTACCCGCTATAGTTAATAACGCTCCCCTTCCCCCTCGCCGTCCGCCAGTATAAATATAGCGACAATCATAAAATCATTACACGACGGGAGCGACGAACCGGCAAGGGATTTAATATCAATATTTCTAAGAAAATAATAAAGCGACGTGACAAAGTTGCTTAAGAGCCTGCTCGGCCAATAGGCAAGGATGAAGAAAAAAAACGCCCGCGCTCCGGATTGCGTCACGGCAAATCCGGCTGAGGGACGGCCGCGCGCGTATATCACGATATCACGCGTGTACGGTGTAAAAGGCATCGCATTGCCGTGTAATTAAGCCGCGACCAGTTTCGTTCGACAAGGCGCGCGGCTTTATAAATTACGGCCTCCATTAGCGCGTTTCTTTCCCCCGGGGTCTAATAATCGCGAGATCAGTGTGTAACTCGTTACACTGTAACCGAGTGCCGCGCTAAACAGTTCGAAAACTTAATATTACACGGCGGATAATTAAGACTCTAATGAAAGCGGTCTGAAAGCCGCGCCGCCGCGCCGCCGCGCGCCGCGCCGCGCCGTCACGAGAGAACGCACAAGAAGCGTCCGTCCGCGACAACGTTTCACATCCGCCGAGATCTCTCGGCGTGCCTTGCGCAGAGGTTGCGAAAACCTGAAACGTCCGCGCGTCCGAGGAAATACAAAACGCCTGCCGCTAATCAAAAAGCTACAATCTATTTCCCCCGCCGCACGATAAGCGTCTATTATACTCGCGCTTGCCCGATAGGCGCGTATTTCATTTAAACGCACGCTTCTTTCGCCCGCCCCTTTCTAATGATACTTAATCTAGGCTCCTTCATTACGGGAGCTTACGGCACGCAAGATTGATAACCAAATTGTACGTTTCGCCAAAGTATTCGAGTGCCATTATCCCCTGATACACTGTCACGGCCGCCGCCACGCAACCGCGCACGTTGCGTGCTCCGCAACGACACGCGTGGCAAATCGGAACCTGGCCGGATGTTAATCGCGATGGTAGCCCGTCTCCTCTGCGTGATCGGCGAAACCCGCGCCATTATAAGGCGCTGGCTACCGGTTCGACAGGCGTGTAAGTCGCGGCCCGTTGTGCCTGACGATCGCCATCAACACGTTTCTTATCAAAAACGATGTCGTAAATTTGTTACCTTCCGTCCGCGGCCACTTCTTCGCTGACGCGAGAAACGAAGTCACCCTCCGTGCAAAAATTGATGTCGCGGCGTACAATCGAACACGTACAAAGTCACGTACGTCCGTTTACGAGAGAAAATCAATATATCGTCGATATATCGATTTACCGCGCGAGCGTCACATATTTAACCCTTTGAAGCATACATTTTTTTATTGAATTATTTTTTGTGAAACTTTGTATAGAAGGATTTTTGGGGGTCGCTGATTACGAATCCGTTATCAGGTTTTCATAATTCAAAATGACGAATTCAAGATGATGGAATTCGAAACTTAAAAGAATAACATCGTTCAACTATAATTCAACTATGCTAAGAAACATTATTTAGATATTATTAGGACCCATGGAATCTAAATTCCAGTTGAAAATTCTTATAGAATATGGAATTTTAGAAACGTCTGGTTTTAGTTTGTGTTTCATATATCATGTGCATAAAAGTGTTTGATTTTCTGAATAACTAAACTTTTATGCAAATTAAATGTTTTATTTTTATTAATGAGGACAATGCAGTAATACTACATTTATACTTTGTAAAAATACACCGCCGTGTATCTTAAAATTTTTGCCAAGGTGTACAAATAAAATTATAAAGATATACTTTATCATTTGTATTAGAAAATTAAATTAAATTTTAATATTAGTCTTCTTATGCTAACAAACGTTGAGTTATGTGTTGCAAAAAAGCAGTACATGTTTGTCAAAAGTTTTGAAATCTTTCGGTCTTAAAAAAGTCCTTGTTATAAGTTTGCAAGTGTTTGCTTCATAAGTGTGTAATCAGTAAGTGTTTGAAATATAAATCCATTTGAATTTCTAACAATCAAACACAAATTGTGTTTTACTTCGATTCCGCTTGAGAATCACACGTACATATCTGTTTAATTTGACTAGTGCTTGGTTGTAGCAATACAATATTATAAGATTCTGCAATGTTTGATATCAGTCGTGTTTGAAAGTTAATCACTTTTATACAAGTGTTTGAAATTCAAACGCTTTTCCAATGGTATTTGATAAATGAAACATTTCTGATAACCCCATTCTTAGAGCGTGGGTTACCACCATACTTCAAAGGGTTAAATAATACCCTTGACCAGAAAATAAGAGGCTATTTCATCTACTTATTGAACAGAATCTCGATGACTAACTGCATCAATCTGAACCCCCTAACTAATTGGACTATCGATTTTAAATTGCTCAATTAAAGCATCATCTGTTGATTCCACCGTGAATTGATTGCTCCTGGAATAAAATCTATTTAGCGGAAAATTCATTTTCGGATCGTATAATCGAAAAAAGAGTTGTGATTGAATTTTTGCACCCAGAAATAAAGATTTAGTTATGTTAAACAAATGAGATACGTTTAAATCATGTTTTCTTGAATCTATTAAATTTTTATTTACTTCTAACAAAACATCCGCTAGATTTGCTGAAATAGATATGCATTCTCTTAGAGATTCCAGTCTCAATCAGATAACATTTCGGTTAAGGTAAAGAAATCATTTCTTTGAAATTAAATAAAAGTCTAGTGAGGTCCAAATTCAAACAAACATTTTTCTGGGCGTGGGCATTGTTGACAGCCACGCGGAAGATGTTGTACCCTCTAAAGTTTTTGGAACTCCATTGGAAGAAATACTTCACTCCAAAGCTCTATTTTTGTTTCAAAAACTTTAGAGAGTAAGACTAGTATACAGGGTATTCGGAAAGAAGGGGCCTCCGTATTATCTCCAGAAGTACACACTTTCACGGAAAATGACCCGAATAAAAGTTGTAGGGGTCCCTGTGATTCCCACATTACGCGATTTTCAGGAAGTGAACCCAACGAGGGTTAACTCATTAAAACTTTATACAGAAGTAAAGTAATATACTTGTGTATAATTCGTTTCAATTGCCATTCAAGTAGTTGAGATCTAAGAAAATATCACCTGTGCAAGCTGTCCATAATAATTAGGCACGGTACTGTATTTACAACACCTAGTAATGCTCGTATACTTGGCCTCCCTTCGTTTGCTTTTACGACGAGCGTTTGTCGCGTTTATTTTTAACAATACTCTGCTCGGTACATATTCAATGCCGCATAAATACAGTTCCATGTTCAAAGGAAATCGACTATGAATTGCTCCGACCCAATGCCCCTTGCATACTAAATTACCATTTGCAATAAGCGTGACTCCAGCAGTTACCGTATTCAAGAAACGTGATATACTGTAAAAGCACTTTAATTAAGCAAAAACGTCTCTGTACCGTAAGAGAGACTTCATTATAAATCCTCGGCGAGTTGGCGGATTGGTCCCCGGTGAATTGAGCGCGTTTTATTGGGCATTAAATGTTCCACAATGTCTCGGTTTACATCTTTCGCAGTGGGCAGGACGAACTCCGTGGATCCGTAATCCTAAACTTACGAGCATTGCTAAATACTAAACACGCCGAGCGTCGTGCATTGTGCGGGACCGCATCCTTAATCCCGCTAGGGTCGAGAACGCAATCGCGGCGCCGTATAGCATTCCCCTGGAAACGGAAAAGTTATCCGCGAGCTCGCAGGAGGCAGGCAAGGAAATTTGTGCGCGTGTCAGGATTATGCCGTGGGCGACGCCGTGAGGCGAATATATGGCTACATGCGGCGCGACGACGTTTCGGTCCGCTGTGCACGTACGGGATCCCGCGGTTATTCAATGCAACAAGGTTGCATTACGCTGCGGGAGTCGCGTCTGCCGGAATATGTGGCGGTGCCGCTACCTGCGCGCTATATGGCATCGGATTAACGTTATTATATTTCGTCGGTCGAGAAGCGAGATTTTGCCCACTCTCTTTCTCCCCTTCTTTTCCCTCTTGGGATACTGTGTTCCAGAGTATTAGAATCGTGCCATTTCGTTCCGGTTATATAGATTCCCTCGTAACGCAACAATATATTGAGAAATAATGTAAATCCAATATTCCCAACATTCCAACATTGCAAGATGGACGCCTCCTCTTATTTAGCACAATATGCACCCAGGAAAAAAGTTTCTCTGAAATCAAATAAATTTCCTTCGAATTTTTACCTTGCTAGATTTTTATTCCATTTCAAAGAAATGATTTCTTTACCTGGTAACGCAACAATACATTGGCGCAATATTGGGAAATAACGTAAATCTAATCCCAACATTCCAATATTGCAAGATGGACGCCTCCTCTTATTTAACACAATATGCACCCAGGAAAAAAGTTTCTCTGAAATCAAATAAATTTCCTTTGAATTTTTACCTTGCTAGATTTTTATTTTATTTCAAAGAGATGATTTCTTGACCAAATCTTTATTTGATTAAGACTGGACTCTCTAAGAGAGAATTAATTCACATCTACTTCTTCAAAGTCTCATTTATTTAACTTAAACAAATCTTTTATCTGGGTGTAATCAGCAATATTGGTCTAATATTGCATCAATATTCACATTACATGGCCATACAGTGGTTGGCCAATGCACTTTCAATATAAATCTAATATTAGAGAAAAATCCCTTATTATAAGATGGGTTTTCAACATCCAAATTCAATAACAAATCCTTTGCCGCAACGATTACACGTTACAACAATGAATTTTCCACTAAACAGAGATTTCACACCAAGAGCAATAAATTCTTGGTGGAGCCAACGGATAATACCTTAATTTAGCAGCAACCCTGTCTCATATTAGGACCATATCTCGTGATAGAGGACTTTCCTCTGCATAATTGCTATCGTGCAACATGTGCATTTATTCCATGGCCTTATCGACTTTCCATTGGGAAACGTTGGCCAATGCACTTCCGATATAATCAATATTGAAGCAATGTTTAATCAATGAACTGTTCTACTATTCTTAAACGAATATGGGTTTAATCCTCGCGCGAGCGGAACCTCTCTCCAATAAAGAAGCTCCATTTACAGACGGCGTGTTCTAACTGGCGATCAAACGATCCTGTCGCGTCGTTTCCGACCGAACGAGAATGGAATGGAACATCAGCACGATGCGTGGAAGAGGAGGTGCTCGATCCCGTGACGAAGTTATCGCCCGCGTCAAGTATACACCTTGCAACTTTACTCTCACGTTCAATGCGGAGAGAGAGACTCGCGCGAGTCGGATAACAGGGCGGTATTTCATCCGGCACCGAGACATTCATGTGCGTAACTGTGCTCTTTATTCGCCAGACGCGACCGGACTAAGTGCTCGGCGAGCGCGATATCTACTCGCGGGCATTATTCAAGCGGGGACGCGTAACGACCGCAATTCCGCGGCTGAGCGTAAAATCGCGAAATTCTGTCGGACCGCGCGCGTTCCGTTCTGCTTGCAATATCCTCTTTGAGATATCAAACGATCTCTGCAGCCCGCGACCAAGGCCGGAACTGATCCGTTGGACTTGGTCAAGTTCGAAAGAAACTCCACTGATCGTTATTACTGATACAATAATAACGAGCGAGAGGAGGACTCGAGTGTAAAATATTAAGCTGAAAAACTCGTTAACTTCCATTCGCTTCGATTAACGATAAATTTCTCAGTCGCTAAGAAGCAATTTGTATCCGGTCCTTGCGAAAAAAGGTCCATGCTTGCTAAATTTATTATCGCTAATGTTTACTAAATTAAGATTTATCGTTAACATAACTGCATCGTTGCAACGCTGATGAGGATATAACTGCACCGTGCGTAGAGCGCGGAGGGAATTAATTGCATTAGGTACTATTCCTAGTCCTGACTATCGTCAGAAAGCAGCCGGAATTTTTCGCTGCGCTCGGCAAGTGGCTATACCAATCTCACGATCCTTCCTTCGATACCGCGATGCGGAAAAGTGATTTTTATTGAATCGACCCCACTTAAACATCTGCACAGCAATCTCGTTGAAAGAGAGGAGCATCGCGCTGCACGTGCGTGTACGCGAGTGCATTACCAACCGACGTGAAATTGAGAGAAAATGAGATCGATCACTCCCTTGATAAAGGATGAAGCGCCCATCCGCCCGAGCCTTTGAGATTGTTCACCGTAGAATGATAGAGCTTTAACGATGATTCCGCGTAATATCGCCTCACCCCGTAGCCCCGCGGACGGTAAATGATCCCCGCCAGAGCGAAATTACATGGAGCCGGAGAAGCTGCGAGGATCTATTGTGAACTGCTTGTCGCTGTCCGCTGGCCCGCGGAGAAATTCCGTCCGGGCGGCCAAGTGCTCCTCGCGAGTGCCCGTCCTCCGCGAGCTTTCCACTCACGATCCCGTTCTTTTTTATCTCCCGACGAGAATGCAATTTTCGCCAAGCAGCCGAACGAATACACATCGTCGCAATTTTCGCGCTTGAGAAATCAGCGCGACGTCGCCTTGGCGCGTGTCTCTATAGAAATAAAATTCAGCGACATCCCGTTTACATTCAACGAATACGTCGCCACTTTCTTCGTCTCATATTTCACGCGTGTACCGTATCTCCCGTTGCTGTTGTTGTTGCCTGTCTTCATATGGAAATTTATATTTTTCACACGCGTGTTGTTTGTTGTTAAAACAAACGTGCATCTTGAAAAAGAATCAATTTAAATACGTTACTAAATACATGATTAAAATACACTAATAAATTCCTACACTGATAGAAAAATACGTAGTATTTGAAACTATAATTGTGTAGTAAAATATTTATAGTCAGGAATATCATTTTTATAGTAATTATTACTACACTCACAATCAGTTCAACAAAAAGCGTTGCACGTAAAATTTGTCAAGAAATTATCAAATTTCGAATGACGATCACTACGCGAGTAATAATGATAGAAACGTTTTTCAAAAAAGAAATTAAAGCTTGAAGTTTCTACTTTAAGAATCGATGCATCAGAGTTTTGCGAGATAATTGTTTTCAAAATGGCGGATGACAAAACGAGAGCATGCAAAATTGAAAAATTTTTGTCCGAGTTTGCGACGATCCATGACGAGAGGCAAGTGTTGCACCTTAATGGGATAAAAAGCATGCGATAGTACAGAGTCTCCCCTTCAAAATGCTTTTTTACTCGTTTCGATACGATGATGTTTCGCTGAGATATGCTCATTTAAAGTAAAAACCGGCCTTTTTATTCAAATGCACATATCTCAGCGAAAAATCATCGTATCGAAAGGAGTAAAAAAGCATTTTGAAGGGGAGACTCTGTACTATCGCATGCTTTTTATCCCATTAAGTTGCAACACTTGCTTCTCGCCATGAATCGTCGCAAACTCGGACGAAAATGTTTCAATTTCGCATGCTCTCGTTTTGTCATCCGCCATTTTGAAAAAAATCATTTCGCAAAACTCTGATGCATCGATTCTTAAAGTAGAAACTTCAAGCTTTCATTTCTTTTTTGAAAAACGTTTCTATCATTATTACTCGCGTAGTTATCGTCATTCGAAATGTGGTAACTTTTTGACAAATTTTAGGTGTACCGCTTTTTTTTGGACTAAGTGTATAATATTAGTAATAGCAACCATATAGACACAGTGATGCCAACTATTTAAAAAATTTATTATTAAATATAAGCTTTTAACTATTATTCTGTTAACATATCCAAGTAATGAATAGTAAATTAGTTAATTATTTTTATACAATACAATCACGATAATAGTAAACTTAACCACATATCTATCATCCACCTTACTAATCACATGGTAAACAAAAGTGAAGTGATTTGGAATGTCCTCGCTATAGGGACTCGCGGTATAAAGCGTCGTCTACAATAACCGACGTAAGCGTGGAGTAAGAAGTAAGAGTAGGCGTAAGAGAGCTACTTCCGGTTTAATAGAGCTGGAGTAAGGGCGTAAGCGAAATGAATTATTTTTTTCTTATTATTATTTCTTACGCCTACTCTTACTCTTACGCCTTTTCACGCATGCCTACAAAACACCTACTTCACCGTATTGTAGATTGAGTCGGCGTAAACAGCTTACGCCAAAAACGTTACTCCTACTCTTACTTCTTACTCCACGCTTACGCCGGTTATTGTAGACGACGCTTAAGACTTTCTCGTAAGGAGAAAACCGCATAGGGTTTTATAAATACAGATAAGTTTATATATTTATTATTTGTATAAGATTACTTATCTTTTCTTTGAAAGATGCTTTCTTGTACTATTCTTTATGAGTGCAAAGTAATGTAACCAATGAGCATAGTGAACGCAATGTATATACATGTATGTATAATATTGTAAAAAGCGGGGAATATTATTTCCATTATAAATACGAGTATTACTATTACACATAGTTATTCGAAATTTTACTTGCGGTTATTATTGCAATATTTATAGTACACCTTACCAAATTAAAAGCTCGTTTTGGTGCATTATGACAACCATATCGTAAGTTGCATGGATCAATATTGTGTCTATGAGAATTGTAATATACTGTTGGGTCAGCCATAACTTACGTAGTTGGAAGAATGATAAAAATGTGGCTGGCTCCTAAAATGACTATAAATTATAGTGAGATTGTGGTAACTGCAACCATTTTTATCTATCAGTGTAGTGGTGTCTCGGTAATTTTACACGATAACCGAGTTTGCCTACAAAACTCAAGAGACTTCATGAAAAATTGCTAAGGATTCAGTAAATTTACTAAAACAAAATCATACACTGAGAAGAAAGGCAATTTCCTTGATTCAACTGTAGGCGGCGATCACGGGCTGTCGAGCAAATATTCATCGATACCGTAAAAATATTCGTCAATTCATGAAAATATATGCTCAACTTAAAAACATATACATTTGAACTGAAGAAATACTGCCGACTAAACTTCATTTTCTCAGTGTACTGATCAATTAATGAATTCATTGAATTACTAAGTAACTTTTATGCGCTAAAGTCTTTCGTCTTTAAAGATTCTTCAACGCTAATTCCTTGAGACAAGCCGTGCGTTTACTTAAACATCCATAAACCGGTCGTTAAATGCACGTAAAAGCATTACAAAATACCGCAGGTTCCGGAGAAAGAAAAAGATAACGTACGTTATTTGTTTTAATAACGAATTTACAGGAAAAGCGAACGAACGTGGGAAACGCGCGGGGGAACAGCATGAGAAAGCGAAAGGGGGGTCCGTGTACGCGACGCCGATAAGAAATTTGTCTCTGGCCTTCGACCTTTTCGCACGACGCCACATACGTTGGACGTAATGTGTTTCGGACGTGGGCGATTTGAGGCAGGCGCGGGATAATGAGTTCCTGGACTGTGGGATATTGGCATGCGACTTATAAGGATGAGAGTAGTAGGCGCAAGATCGATGCATCCGCGGGGATAGACGAGCCCCGCGCGCGCTCTCGGCTATTATTCGTAAGTCGTGATCCGGGGGTCAGACTCCCGCTGACTGCAGGATGCTCCTCTCTATTACTCCGGGGCCCGGACAGGGGGGGGAGGATACGATCGAGAGACGGCAATAACGCATTTTGAGGAAGCACCCTTGCCCTCTATCATTCCCGGCGATCGACCGTCCACGACGACGTAGGAGAACGGACGTAATGATGCTCGTCCGCGTATCGCGCTAATGTAACGGTACGCCGTCGTCATTCGGAATTTGTACTCGTCCAGTTCCTCCGCGGGATCTATACATCTCATGCAAATGGTAATACGAGACCCGGGGGAGGCACTCGCGAATTGTTATCGTGACACGGAAGCGACTGCGCGAAGGTGGAACGCGATACTTGAAATTCAATTTAACGAAAAGTCTCGAATATGATAATCTCTCGCGGACGTAATGTATTCATCTTTCCTCACCTCTCGATCTCACGGTTGACTTTTCTTTCCCGATAATTTATACCGTAGTTCCCACTTCCTAGCCGACGGTTCATTTTAATATCAAACGTCTCGACGTATAATAGTTCGAAGACCGATTTCAATTAAAATTTTTAACACCTCGGACCGATCTAGAAACGGAATTATCTATTGACAGTGTCATTTAAATAACGTATAATTCTAAATTGAACATATCCCGCTTTAAAAGTCCGTCCCTCGCGTTATGAAAGCCGCTTCCAATTTTTCTCGTAAACGATTCAACAGAATGAATTGAAAATTTGAACAGCCGACGTTTTATTAATAGAGAAACCAAGTAGTCCTCGGCGTTTTTCCTGATTTTGAAAAAAAATTACAGTTTTATCTACCACGCAAATCTGTTTTTTCGGAAAAACGCAGAGAACCACTTTGTTCCTTTATTAATCAAACGTTGATGATTTTAATTTCGCTTTCGTTGTAGACAAAGGGATTATTGCAGCGCAAGAACCGCGTATGAAACATACCGCGTGAATCCAGGGACGAGTGTACACGATTATGGATAAAG